TGTACAGGAAGGCTGTACAGATTGGGAAAAATCTTCACCAATCCTACATCCAACAAAGTGCTAATATCCAAAATATATAATGAGTTCAAGAAATCAAACACAAATAAACAAAATAACCCAATTTGAAAATGGGTCACAGAACTAAACAAAGAGTTCTCAACAGAGGAATATCAAATGACTGGGAAGCACTTAAAGAAATGTTCAACTTCCTTAGTCATCAGGAAAATGCTAATCAAAGCAACTCTGAGATTCCATCTCACACCAGTCTGAATGGCTAAAGTCAAAATCTCAAACAACAGGACATACTGGTGAGGGACTGGAGAAAGGCAAACACTTCTCCATTGCTGGTGGGAGTGTAAACTTGTACAATCACTGAAAACCAATCTGGCACATTCTCAAAACACTGGAAATAGTTTATCTCAAGAACTAGCTACACCTCTTCTGGGTATAGTCCCATCATACCACAAGGATACATGTTCAACTATGTTCATAGCAGCTTTATTCACAATTGCCAGAATCTGGAAACAACCTAGATGACCCTTAACCAAAGAGTGGATAAAGAAATTGTGACACACTTACACAATGGAATACTACTCAGCTATTAAAAACAAAGAAATCATGAAATTTGCAGGCAAATGGACAGAACTGGAAAAGATCATCCTGAATGAGGTAACCCAGACCCAAAAAGATGCACATGGTATGGATTCATTTCTATGTGGACTTTAGCCATGTAATACAGGATAAGCATACTACGAGGCACAGACTCAAAGAAGTAAGTAACATAGATGATCCAGGGGAGGATGCATAAATCTCACTCAGAGGGGAAGATAGAATAGACAGAGGTAATGGCTGAAGAGAGGGATCAAGGTAGGAAATGGGGCACAGATAGTTGAGAGGGTGGAGAACAGACCTGGGGAGAGCAAGGGCAAGAGGACAGGACTATAGAGAAAAAGAGAAACGGAGGAGATATCTCTGTAACAAGCTGGAGAACTAAGTCAGAGTAGTCTCCTGTGAGGATAGGAAGGGGACTCAAGCAGAGACTCCTAGTAGCAGAGGCCATAGAGACTGAAGAGGATACCATCTAACTAGACTAGTCTCCTAGCAGAGAGAGGGGAATACCAACCCACTCACAAAAATTTTGACCCCAAATTTACCCTGCCTACAAGATGTGCAGGGATAAAGACAGAACAAATAGGGCAAAGACTGAGGGAATGAGCAACCAATGTCTGGCCCAACCAAAGCCCCATCCAGTCAGAGAATGCCAAACCCTAACACTATGAACCATGTTCTGCTAAACGTGCAGATAGGAGCCTGACAGAGTTGTCCCTGAGAGGCTCTACCCAGCAGTGCCTCGAAACAGACGCTAAGACTCACCGCATTGGGCGATACACAGGGCTTCTTGAGGAAATGTGGAAGAAAAGAGTAAAGGACACAGAAGTAACAGTGTCTCCACAAGAAGACCAACAGAGCCAACTAACCAGGTCCCAGAGGGGCTTGAGGAGACTGAAGCATCAACTGAGGACTACATTTGGACTGGACCTAGTCCCCTTACAAAGATGTAGCAGATGGGCATCAGATTAGGCTTCATGTGGGTCCTCTAGTAAGGGAAGTGAGGATCGTATTGGACATCACTTTCCGCTTTTTGATCACTTTCCCCTGGTAGGATTGCATTACCAGGCCACAGGGGAAGAGGACATGCTCAGTCCTGATGCAACTTGATGAACTAGGGTGGATGGGAAAAGGAGCTCCCCTTTCTTGAGGAAAGGGGGAGGAGTAAGAGGAGAGGGGAGGAAAGGTGGGGCTATAATAAGAATAATATAATAATATAATAAATAAATATAAAGTAAAAGACATTAAAGGAAAAAACCTTCCTCAAGTAATAAGTGATACAAATATTAAACAATTGTTCTTAGAAGACATGTAAGATTATTTTCTTTTCTTTTTTTTTTTTTACTTTATTTTTATTTTTAGTTACAATTTGTTAACTCTGTGTCCCAGCTGTATCCCGCTCCCTCATTCCCTCCCCCTCCCCAACTCCCTCCCTGGTCTCCTCCCTGCCCCTTTCCAAGTCCACTGATAGGGGAGGACCTCCTCCCCTTTCATTTGACCCTGTTTTATCAGGTATCTTCAAGGCTGGCTGCAAAGTCCTCCTCTGTGGCCTAACAGGACTGCTCCTCCCCTGGGGGGGTGGGGGAGGACAAAGAGCCTGCCCTTGAGATCCTGTTAGAAATAGTCCTTGTTCCCCTTGCTTTGGAAAACTACTTGCTCTACAAGTACCGAATATATCCGGGCACAGGGCCTTTTCTGAGACTGACACTCAACCAAGGACCATCTATGGATATAACATAGAACTTCTGCTGGGATGTGGTCTGTGGTAGCTCAGTAAGATTATTTTCAAGAGCCTCTAATTGCAATCTGTCAATAAATCCTGTTTTGTTCATTTCAGTTAACTTATTTTTACTTCCTTAACATTTACCAATTGCCAACTCTCAAAGAAAATTTACTTAATACATATATTTTGTTATGGGTTTAGGAATAGCCGCTTATTGATTATTTAGATATTAGACTAAATTTACCTACACTATCCATCTATTCCAGATTTCTTCCAAAGTTTATCTTAAGTTCCCTTCCTTAATACTCTCCATGATATTAGATCCTGCAATTTTCAGCAAGGACTTACCACACTTAATATTTCACTGCTGTAAATTCCTATAGGGCCATGACCATGCACTAACGATCCTCATAGTCTTACATTCCCTAGATAGTATTATGTATCTTCTGTACCTAGCTCTCAGGTAGTACATGAAAAGCCATCTCACAACAAAGGCAATAGATAGTTACTTTTTTATTTTTCTGCTTTGTGCTCCCTAACTTGTATCGCTTATGTTGTATAAATCCTATGAGTAACAGAGCTTGAATTTGTTTAGTTCTTTCCTTTCATAGTCTAATTTCATTTACTGCACACTGATTCTGCCTGTGTTTTTCTTCTCTACCTTCAAATGCTGAGAAGCAGAATTCACTGCTCCATTCTGATCAACGGGCAAGACAGAAAATAACTCCACACTAAGACACAGTTTCAAAGCTGCCCACAAATAAGATGTTTATTTAATACACATTTAATTTTATTTTATGTGCATTAATGTGAAGGTGTCAGATCACTTGGAACTGGCATTACAGACAATTGTGAGCTGCCGTGTGGGTGCTGGGAATTGAACCAGGGTCCTTTGGAAGAGCAGACAGTGCTCTTAACCACTGAGCCATCTCTCCAGCCCCATTAATACACATTTTCTACATGTCGTCTATAAGCTGGGTGTCCATATATGGGCTTTACTACACTGTAATAAGATAAGGAGCATGAGAAAAAGTTGGAGCCTTCAACAAGACAAAGCCAGTTTAAATTTAAACAGCTCTCTGCCCTGTCAAATTTCAGGTCTTTCCTTCTCCAAGTGTTTCCTTTGCACCACACCACGCTGTGTGACACAGTTCCTTTTTCTACTACTTCACATGCCATAATAATAAAGGAAGATTCTACAAAAAAGTGAATGTTTGCTTTTGTTTGGTTTGGTTTTTCTTTCCATCTCCCTTCCACTTCTTTCTCTCTGCTTGGGGGAAAAGAACTTTTTATTTTCACCTCTTGATCCTGGCACACTAGTGGTGTGCTTTGTCCTTTAGGTCTTTGAGAAAAGGTCTTCATTTCTCCTTTTTGCATTCTTCCCTTGGAAAAAGATGGCTTCTCTTTTTCTACTAAGAGACTGGTTGGGTTGAGCAGGAAAGAGGACACATTAGTTTTATTGTAGCACTTTGCTTCTTTTTCTTCAGCTAAGCTACTGGCATTAACTATGTGGGCACAGGCCTATGCTTAAGTGTGTGTTACTGTATCCTAGATGCACACCTAACAACTCTCTTGCTTTACATGATCCTTATACATCCTTTAAATACAAGCTTCAGACTCAGTTTCTCTACTATCTAAATGCTTTCTTGCAGTTCATGTAGTCTTAGTTTTCTCTTCTTTGAAATGCTAGCTCTTCTGTGTAATGATCATATTGTCTCAGTTAAGTTTTCTTTATTTGCACTCAAACAAAAAAAAAGCAAGAGATTCATCCCCTGTTTAACATGACACAAACCTGCCCCTGACACAAGTGTAGAAAGTGTTAATTATTTGGAATTCTTGAAGCAGATAATGCAGTGATTGTCATGATTAGTAGCTGATGAATACTATGCCCTATCACCCAAGTGTTTCATAATTCTCTGATCAAACATCACCAAAATTTACCCCCATATCACATTTTTCTTTTCATCTTCTCACTTCCTGCTTTACACTAATAATCTTGTCCAGGGGGCTCACTCTTTTCTCAAAGAGAAACATGGATCAGAAATCAGGGGATTTCTACTTTGTATTTCTACACCGATTCTTGGCTAGGGAGTAGGAAGTTTAAAGCAATGGTTAGTCCTCTTGAGCTCACTCACTGGGTGATAGGTGCATACACTATTGAGGTTGAATAAAATAAATTTTATCCTAGCGTTACATTTCTCAGTAACAACAAACAGCTCCTCTCGGAGACCAGATATTTAAAGTTGATGAATGCAAAGTAAGTATCAAAGAACACTGCTAGGCATTTGGGGGAAAGAAAAGAACAACAAAAGTCCAGCCCTCCCGGGTCTAAGTCACTGCAGTGCAGGATGTGGTAACCTGTTCAAACTGAAACACAAAATAAAGTCCCAACCTCGGCCTTTCTTCATCCAGATGATAGAAAATTGTGCTTTAGAGGCTCTGTTTTCAGAGTGGGTTTTGTCTTTTAAAATTAGGACAGTAAAACATGGCATACAGTCTTTGTGCTCAAGCAAGAACGCTTATTTCCAAAGCCAGCATCAATTAATTATCAGTACCGTTCTGGCTCCTGAGGAAAGATGGAGGCATTGCCATAAACCCACTGCGACCCCAGATTGCTCATTGTGCTAGGCTTTAACATTTGCCTCTTTTCACTCTTTCACTTGCTCAGTACACCTCTGCTCTGACTTACGATGGAGTCCTGGTGATGGCTGAAACTTTCCGAAGTCTCAGAAGACAGAAAATTGATATCTCAAGGAGAGGAAATGCTGGGGATTGTCTGGCAAACCCTGCTGCTCCCTGGGGGCAGGGGATTGACATGGAGAGAACACTGAAGCAGGTAACTCATAATTGTGCTTTATTTCATGATCTTTCGTAAGTTTGGTATGTTAAAAAAAAAACAGACTGATTTATCTGAACATGTGTATTACAATTTCCTTGTTAATATCTCAAGCCTTCAACAATGTCAAAACATTTTATGTAGACCCTCCGTGGATATTACTTATATAGATGTGTGGTCAAGATAACACCACAAATCCATAAAGGTTTAAACCAACAAAGGGACCTAGTGTAGACATATTTGGTTAGCAAGAGCCCTGTACTCCATAAAGTCACTCAAGGACCCAGGCTGGCAGAACAGTGGCCATTTTGAATGAACAGGTTGTTGTGGGGAATGAAATGACAATTGGATATTTCATTCCAATAATAGCTCTCATATCTGCTTACAACTTATATATCAGAAAGGATCATTAGCCTCATTAGCCATAAGAAACCAGGAAATACAAGCCTATCTTATAAAAAAAAAAAAAAAAAGATGAAATCTTTGACAGAGTTAAGAACTGCTTCAATGCATCTTTAACTTTGGATTAAATGATTTATTTTATTATCTTAAACACATACAAACAGTATGTGTTAAAGATATTATATGTAAGAATTATTTAACTGCTCTGAAATGTGATTAATTCAAAGCATAAGTAATACAAATGTGAATCCAAAGATAATTTTGAATCCAATATGCTTATTTTCAAATAATGTATTTTTAGTTTTTTTTATATCTGAATTCAACATTAGCCAGAAGAATATGATCTTTCATATAAATTCTAGTTACATTATCTGCTGTGAGGAGATATAGAAAAAAACTGGGGCTGGAGAGATGGCTCAGCCGTTAAAGGCAAGGCTTACAACCATAAATATAAGGAAAAAAAAACCTGAAGATTGACTCTAAGCAAATAAAATATTTGTTCTATGAAAGATATTTCAATATTGGGAAAGAATTGTGTTAATTAAAATGATACTTTTTAATGCAAAAAAATATCTCCTAGGTGTAAAGCAAATACCTGCTAATATCCTTTCATATTCTTTCTCCAGGTTCCATCAATAGGTCAAGCATCCAAAAACATTCCAGAATGTTGATTGCAGCTTTTAATTCCACACCCTTCTATGGTCTTAGCCTAGCAGTGAGAGATCACCTTAAGTAAAGCTGCAAATGAATATATATGTGTTTTCTTTTTCCTTCACAGGTTCGAATTCAAGGGCTGACTGGGAATGTTCAATTTGACCACTATGGACGCAGAGTTAATTACACAATGGATGTGTTTGAACTTAAAAGCACAGGACCTCGAAAGGTGAGCTGCAATTGAACTGAAAAATAAAAAAGTGTTTTCCTATTTTGCATGTAACACTCTTAAAAGCCTATAGGAGAAAAAGAGCTTGATGTTCTAAATATTTTTTTAATATTTTTAAATAACTTTATACACTCACTTATATCCCAGCTGTAGCCCTATCCCTCTTTCCCTCTCAATCCTCCCCTCCCTCCCTAATCTCCTCCCTGCCCCCTTCCGAGTCCACTGAGAGGGGTGTCCTCCTCTCCTTCCATCTGGCCCTGGCTTATCAGGTATCTTTAGGATGGTTGCAATGTCCTTATCTGTGGCCTTGGGAGGGGAAGCTCATGAGTTCATGTCAGAAACAATTCCTGTCCCCTTACTAAGGAACCCACTTGGATACTGAGCTACCACGGGCTATTTCTGAGCAGGGGTTGTAGGTTATATCCATGCATGGTCCTTGGTTGGATAAACAGTCTCATAGAAGACCCCTGTGCTCTGATATATTTGGACCTTGTGGGGCTCCCTGTCCCCTCTAGGATGTTCTAAATATTTTTAAGTGACACACCTTGTATTTTCTTGATAGTCTATGTTGAGATAAATGCTTGTGTTACATATTTTATGTTTAATGATGGGGCAAAATGAAACGATTAATGTGTCACATTACCCTATAACTCACAATCAGAGCAATGTTACAAGGGGAACTGGGCAAACAAATTTTGGAAACAAAAGTTACTCCACATAAAAGAACACAATGAAGTAAATATATCCATGTATGATCATTAGAAACAGTACAGAGACCCTGCTAATGAGCGGGAATACTCTCAATGGATTGCTGGTTCTGAAATTAGCCAGGCAAATTCAACTAAACAAGGGAAAGCAAATGGAAGATAAGATGAAGATGACAATTACTGGGCTAAGGAGAGAGAGTTCAGAAAAGTGCTAGCTACAGGGTCTCACACTTAGAAAATATCTTAGCATTGTTTCTGTTATGCTGAAAAAACACCAACAAAAAAGAAACTTAATAGAGAAAGATTTTTGTTTTGTTTTCTTTTGTTTTACAATTTATTTATTTTTATTCACTTTACATCCTGGTTGTAGCCTCATCCCTCCTACCCTCCCATAAATACCCTCCCTCCCTTCTCCTTCCTCCCGCGCCTCTTACTCAGAAAAGGGGAGCTCTCTTTCCCATCCATCCCAGCTCCTTAAGTTGTATCAGGACTTAGTATGTCCTCTTCTGCTGTGTCCTGGTAAAGCAGTAGCACCAAAGGGAAGTGATCAAAAAGCTGGCAAGTGAATCTGTGTCCAATGAAGCCCCCACTTCTGTTGCTAGAAGACCCACATGAAGCCTAAGCTGTCCATCTGCTACATTTTTGTAGGGGGCCTAGGTCCAATTTATGCATGGTCCTTGGTTGATGCTTTAGTCTCAGCAAGCCCCTGAGAATGAGGGAATGTGCAACCAATGCCTGGCCCAACCAAACACCTACCCTATGGGAGCGTGCCAACCCCTGACACTATGAACAATACTCTGCTAAGCTTGCAGACAGGAGCCTGACAGAGCTCTACCCAGCAATACCTCAAAACAGATGCTGAGACTCACAGCCAAACTGTGAGTTTGGTTGATGCTTAAGGAGTCTTGTGAAAAAGTGGGAAGAAAGAGAAAAGGACCTGAAGGTTATAGGAGCTCCACAAGAAGACCAACATGGCCAACTAACCAGGGACCAAAGGGGTCTTATTTTGTTTTGTTTCTGCTTAGAATTACTGGTCCAAGTTCATCATTGACCACAAGCACAGGCAGGAGCTTGAAATAGATCACATGATAACCACAGTCAAGAAGGACAAATGTATGAATGCTGTTTGCTTGCATGTGTGCTCAGCTCAACTGTCCCACTCTTAAACAGTTCAGAAGCCCTCCCTGCCCTCAATAGGCTGAATCTTCAAATATCAGTTAAGACAATCCTTATCTAGATAATTCCTCACTGAGAGCCTCTTCCCTGGTGGTTCTGGTTATGTCAAGTTGACAGTTTTAAAGCTAACCAACACAGGCAGCTCTACTGTTCTCGGATCAGCTGCCTTTCTAGCATTCCCAAAGTAGTCTCCATCAGAGATGGCTAAACTTTTTCCCTCACAACCACTTTCTGTCTGAGACATTTTTACGTGAACCCAGGAATATAAGATAGGCAAACAAATTGAAAATTTACAGATTATAATTCATAAAGAATTTTATATTTCAAAAACTTTTAGCATCGTTATAATTTTATCATTTATCCATACTAAAGAAATGGAGGTGCTTCACTATTTTTACATGAAAAATCTAAGTATAATTTGAAAGAAAAAGTACATTTTCCCTCATGTTGGTCAATGTTTTTGACTTTGTACGTGTGACTGCCAAGAACACTGGATCATATAAATATCCAGTACAAAAAGACAGAAGTATGTTTAAAGATATTTCTGTCTTAAAACAGTTTGGAAATCTTGTCCAAATCTCAGGCTAAAACTCATCTGACAATTTTTTTTTAAATCAATAAGCCTATTAATCATATTAATCAGCAACTTTGAAAATCAAGAACCCCTGCTCAGATATAGCCCATGATAGCTCAGTATCCAAGTGGGTTTCCTAATAAGGGGAACAAGGACTATTTCTGACATAAACTCAATGACTGGCCCTTTGATCTCCCTCCACCCCCCAAGGGAGGAGCAGCCTTGCTAGGCCACAGAGAAGGACATTGCAGCCAATCCTGAAAATACCTTATAAGCTAGGGTCAAATGGAAGGGGAGCAGGACCTCCCCTATCAGTGGACTTAGAGAGGGGCAAGGAGGACATGAAGGAGGGAGGGTGGGATTGGGAGGGACTGAGGGAGGGGGCTACTACTGGGATAAAAAGTAAATAACTTGTGATTACTGAGACTGACACTCAACCAAGGACCATCTATGGATATAACCTAGAACTTCTGCTCTGATGTGGCCCGTGGTAGCTCAGTAACCAAGTAGTTTTCCAAAGTAAGGGGAACAAGGACTATTTCTAACAGGATCTCAAGGGCAGGCTCTTTGACACCACCACCCCCCCATGGGAGGAGCAGTCCTGTTAGGCCACAGAGGAGGACTTTGCAGCCAGCCCTGAAGATACCTGATAAAACAGGGTCAAATGAAAGGGGAGGAGGTCCTCCCCTATCAGTGGACTTGGAAAGGGGCAGGGAGGAGACCAGGGAGGGAGTGTGGGGTTGGGGAGGGAATGAGGGAGCGGGATACAGCTGGGACACAGAGTTAACAAAATGTAACTAAAAAGAAAAATAAAATTTAAAAAAATAAAAATAAAAATAAAACCCTTCAATAAATTTCTTAGGACAGAGAAAAAAAATAACTTGTGATTAATATAAAAAATAAAAATTATTTTAAAAAAAGAAAATCAAATCATTTATCAGCCAGGAATGGTAGAACATGGTTGTTATGCCAGAATTTGGGAGGCAATATTATCAGAAGTTACATGTCATCTTCAGTGACACAGTCAGAGGTTAGTCTATTCTACATAAAACCATATCTCAAAACCTACATATATGAATAAATAAATCGTTCTAACATGATAGAAAAATATACAAAATTGATATCTATAAACTGTAGATTTGGGTAGGAAAATATTACTTGTAATCCATGATTAAGCCATTGAATTTTCCATAAGATCAAAAATCTTTGCATGAACAGTAAAATTCTTTTTTAATTTATTTATTTTTTATTAATTACAATTTATTCACTTTGTATCCCATCTGTAGCTCCCTCCCTCTTTCCCTTCCAACCTCACCCTCCCTCCCTTTTCTCCTCCCATGCCCCTTCCCCAGTCCACTGATAGGGGAGGTCCTCTTCCCCCCATTACATCTAACCCTAGCCTATCAGGTCTCATCAGGCTACATTGTCTTTCTCTGTGGCCTGGTAAGGCTGCCTCCCCTCAGGGGGAGGCAATCAAAGAGCCACTGAGTTCATGTCAGAGACAGCCGCTGTCCCCCTTACTGGCGTGGCCCATTTGGAGACTGAGCTGCCATGGGCTACCTCTGAGCAGGGGTTCTAGGTTATCTCCATGCATGGTCAATGTTTGGAGTATCAGTCTCAGAAAAGACCTCTAGGCCCAGATTTTTCTGTTCTGTTGCTCTCCTTGTGGAGCTCCGGTCCACTCCAGGACTTTCTATCTCCTTCTTTCATAAGATTCCCTGCATTCTGCCCAAAGTTTGGCTATGAGTCTCAACATCTGCTTTAATACCCTGCAGGGTAGAGTCTTTCAGAGGCCCTCTGTGGTAGTCTCCAGGCCCTGGAATATTTGGGGGAGACTTTTAATGACTGCTTCTATTTCCTTGATCTTTAATCTATTTACCCAATCTTGATTTAATTTTGGTAAATGGAATCTATCAAGAAAACTGTCCTTCTATTATGTGGAATAGTTTGCAGAGAATTGAAATGAGCTCTTCCTTGAAGTTTTGGTATAATTCTGTGCTGAAACCATCTGGCCCTGAGCTTTTTTTGGAAGGGAGACTTTTGTTGACCACTTCTATTTCCTTAGGGGATATAGAACTATTCAATCTTTTTACCTGATCTTGATTTAATGTTGGTTAATGGAATCTATCAAGATAATTGTCAATTTCATGTCGATTTTCAAATTTTGTGGCATACAGACTTTTGTAGCAATGATTGTTTAGATTCGCTCAGTTTCTGTCCTTATGTCCCCCTTTTTGTTTCTGATTTGGATGGTTTCTCTGCCTTTTAGTTAGTTTGCTAAGGTTTTGTCTATCTTATTTATTTTCTCAAAGAACCAGCTCTTGATCTCATTGGTTCTTTGAATTGTTTTCTTTGTTTCTAATTCATTGATTTCAGCTCTGAGTTTAATTATTTCTAAATGTCTACTCCTGTTAGGTGTGTCTGCTTCTTTTTTTTTTTTTCAAATGAGTCTAACCCTAAAACCTTTCAATAAACAGGCTCTGCCTGAAAAAAAAATAATAATTTTGTTTTAAGAAAGCTAGAATATGCAGTCCGTTTGACAGTTAAAGAAAAAGCGTAAGGCATTGTAGAAAGAAACAAAACCACTCACAGGTGGAGGAAAGCATCGCCTGGGCAGGTGCAGGGAGGAGGGGATTGAGAGATAGAGATTACCTAGACATAGAAGAGGCGGCAATGGCAGGGAACACTTGGCAGCAGGACCGCTGAGGGCATGTAAGGAAGTGGCTGTGGCATCCCCAATGCTTTGCTCCAGTTTCTGACATGAGTGCGCCTCTAAAGCTGTGTGTGTGAGAGAGAGAGACAGAGCAGAGGATGTTGTACTGTTTTATAACACAGCTCTAGCTTGTTGTGCTCAAGGTGGCGTCTCCTTGCCTACAGTCTTCTAGCCGGTACAGAGTGATTTCAGGACAACTGAAGCAAGTCAGGGAGTAAAACAGTTGGGTGACACCTCATGAGCCACATTATCAGGCTTCTTGAGTAAAGGAAGGAGACACACTTCACAAGAAGAAGTTCTTGTGAAGGTCCATTCTCCTATCGTATTGCTAGCTTCTCTGCTAGCTATAGGGAACTGACAGTGTTCCATAGGCGAGTAAAACTGTTGACTTCTGGGTAGGCAGAGGGAAGAGAGGCTACCTTCTTTTCGTGCAACAAACATTGCAGAGCTGGTCCACTAAGCAGAAACTTTTTAAAATGCAAAAGATAATCTATTTTACAAAACAGTAATTATGGCTAGACAAATGACTCTTAATAAAATTGAAAGAAAAGGAAGAGGAAACAGGTGTTATCCCGCAGTAATAATACCTTGTGGGCTATGTGTACTGCTGAATCTTTTCATGGCCTGATCAACCACAATGGTAATAAAAACTAAGGTTTCTCAAGGAGAAAGTTAAAAAGTAAGTAAGTTAGAAGAGTGACACACAGATCACTTCACGCCAGCTGTCATCCAGCCAAGACACTTTTTTTCTTTTATTATATTATTATTCTTATTATTTAATTTCTATTTTATTTTTATTAGTTACAGTTTATTACATCCAAGACCCTTACAAGAAAAATGAAGTGTGCAGTGATGCAGGCTCATAAATCTTTGTATTCCCGGTGGCAATGATCAGCGAGGCATTGTGTCAGGAATATTAAACTGAAAAATAAGCTAGCTAGCGTGGGAAACACTGTGCCGGTGAGAACAGGCAGTGCGTCTGAGAAGTGAACAATTCTTCTTGCAAACTGAATGCTTGCCAGTGAGGGAGCAAGCTTTGAACATAGATTAGAGAGGAAACCGATCAACGTATCTGGTTTCAATAAACAGGAACCCAGATGGAGCATCTCATTAAGCCAAAGTACAGTTTTCTGAACCATATCCTTCCTAGACAACTGGAATCTTCTTATCATGGGCTCATCAGCCAAGGATTCAGGGCATGTGTTCCAGGCCTACTATTGCGTGGGTTTAGAAAATCATAACGGTAAAATTTCATTGACTGAGATTAGGTTATATGCTGACTACTGTCATGGAAAACTAACATTTGTTTCCAAATTTAATTCACATGACAACATAAAAATAATGGACATTCTTCTCAACTTAGAGAGAACTAGGACCAAGAGACATTAAGCAGCCTGCTCATGGAAAATCAGCTGAAAGAGATGGTACTGGAGAGAAAAAGAAAATTTCCAGAGCCCATTGTCTCAGCTAATTTTTTTAGCAGCAGCCCCAAAGGCATGAGATTTCTATCCCATTCAGATCTGGTATGAGAATAAAGTTGGACTTTGCAGGAAAAAGCTGCTTGAAGTAGCTCTCCAAGCCACCAACTTGAGCAGAAATAGGCTCCTAGGTGCCGAAACAGCCAACCCCAGTCTTACCCTGCAGCCCACGTCCACTGCACACAGGGGCCTCACTTATACATTAGATAATATCTGGTACTGAATCTGCTTAAAGTTGTTATATTGGAGGAAACACAGCCTTCCAGATTCCAAAGAGACAGATTTTCTGACAAATATTGCAAGTTTAGTGATTTAAATGTGTTCAGATTTTTTTGTCTATTTATATAAAGCCATTTTCAATCTTTAGGATAGTAATACTATCCTAGTAGTTTTCGTAGATGAGATCAGGCAAGGCAAACATACATATATGGATTGAAAAACAGGTGGGCTCAAATATAATTTTAAGTAAATTTTTCACAGAATTACTATATGTCCTCTAGAAGTGGATATGCATGGACAATAGAAAGTAGCTAGAATTCATATGTACCATAATTTCAAATTAAAATTGTTTTGCTTTACCTTGTCTTTTTGAGTTATAGCTTCAACACTTGTAAATAATTATCTCTCTTTGACAATATCAATGCTGTTTGAATATGCTCTGAAATACTAATACGGCAGTTAAGACTCTAGACAGAGCAAGAGAGCCCTCTTGACCACAGTAGATTAAACATTGAATGCAGCAGACCCATGAGCAATACACACATTTTCTTTGGGAATCTGAGCATTTTGTACATCATCAGAAACTGATCCTGGCAAACGTTAAGTGAGCACCCACTTTAGGAAGCCTTTCAACATACCAACATACAAACAAAAAGGTAAGGAGTCGGTATCATAAAAGCTTTAGTTCTAAATTCTCACCCTACTGGATGGTAGTCTTGGACAATTTGTTCAGCCTCCACAAAGGATCTCCATATCAAAAAAAAAAAATATGGACAAGAACAGCAGCAATCTCAATAGCACTGTGCATACTGACTGTAACAGGCATAGAAAAACTCACATCACAGAGAGACCTGCCCAAGAGCAATGTTTTGTATGTAACCATCATTATCCTCCAATAGTAGAAACCAATTGAGACAGCCTCAATTTTCAGTAATGCTCCACTGTCATAGTACATCTTAAGATATTAACTTCACGTTTTATTCTATGGAGAAGAGTCTGGCTTACAATGTGAAAATAGTACGACCTGCTGGTGTGTGAACGCATGTGACGTGTGCACACGTGTGAGCGCAGGTGAGGAAAAGCTCATGCGTTCTGTCCTATCACTCCCTACCTTGGGTCCTCCTCTAAACCTGGACCTAGATTAATAGCTAACAAGCCCCAAAGGTCCTCCTGTCTTCACCTCTTCCCCAGCAGAACAGTTAAAGTCACAGGGACAGCCATGCAATGGGTGCTAGGAATCTGAATTGTGGTCTTCACACCTGTTTAGTCAGCAGTCTTGGCACTGAGCCATTTCTGTAGCTCCAAATAATATGACATTTAAAGTCAAAGCACAAATGGAAATACTTGTCTTGAAAATGAAAATACCACACATTGATATTCTTCTGCAGTTAATATTTCAGAAAATGAATTGTCATGTAGTAGTTATAGAACATCAAACCAAAACATATTTCTAGATTGCTGTTTACAAATATAAATTTATTTCATTTGAAATATGGCTGCTCACTTTAGTGTGTGTTCTGTAGGTATCTTCATAAAATTGCATAAATTGATTTTAAACAGCGCTGGCCCATCTTACTAGACAAGAAGATCAATATGCTTGAGGCTCCATCTGTGTCTCTTTCATTCAGATCACTGCTTCCCTTAACCACTTCATGACCGAATCTCCCAAACGTATAATAGGGTGGTATCTTTAACACCAAAAAACCTGGCTCAACATCACATCAGTTTTATTTAACTTAAATATCTACACTGCAACCATTACCTCTAAGGCTCTGAGGATCTTGGGAAAGAGGGAGCACAAAAACTTTAAGTGCCAGAGGACCAGGGTCCCTGCTGTGAGATCGTGTCTTCTCTGTTTAACAGGAAAGCTGAACCAATGAACTCTTGGCAATACGGTTGCCTGAATAAGACCAGCATAATGACAGCACCAGGTGTCATACCAACATGGGTGGGGAGGTTCCACATAGCCCTCCCTTAGATGCAGAGATGCAGGTGGTCAATACTTCCTGAGAAAGAGAGAATCAGTTGCCTCCAGGGATGAGCTCCCACATAGGTTTTCCAGTCCCAGTTGTCATCCTTGGGCACATGCACATACGAACAGAGCGAAAGGATTCAGTAGGTTGTATATATGTGTACATATACATGCTACAACAATTTTAAAAAAGATCATATTTTTTGGAGGACACCGGAGGAGTCTGTAGATAGAGGGAATGTCAAGGGTAATGTAGAGGCAGTGTTTCTGTATTTAATTCTCCTAACATAGAAATGCAACTATTAATTTTTAAAGTACAGTTTTTAATGTATCTGCAGTTTGAGTTTGTTCTGGATGGACCCTTGCTTGTGGCAGTCCTCGTTCGAGGAAGACTCCAGGGAAAGCTTCTAAGGTGTGTTTTCAATTAGCTTCTCTATCCGGCAGGTTGGCTACTGGAATGATATGGATAAATTAGTCTTGATTCAAGATGTACCCACGCTCGGCAATGACACAGCAGCTATTGAGAACAGAACAGTGGTTGTAACCACAATTATGGTGAGTTTTGGTGTATGCTTTATAGTGTTTCGTCTTGCCCACAGGCAAATTTAACTCTCTTGCTGTGATGTAAAGAAATGGTTCAAGCTGAATCTTAGCTGTGACTTGAGTGCTCTTCCACTTGAGTCTGCTAAGGTTTTGCAGAGATCTGTCCTAAGCGTGGACACACTCAGCTTTTTTCATTGCCCTTACTTGTGTTACTTTTTGCTGCAATGTTTTTGTTGGGGGAAAAATTGACTCAGATATTAAAAGTTAAGACTGTGAAACTGAAGCCGGAAAAGTTTGAAATTCAAAGACCCCAACAATGAACAAGGAATGTGAGGAAGCCAAGCTCCAAATGAATCCTAAAACCATCAGGTGAAAATACCATAGTCTCAGTGTTTTCAAAAACATCAATGAAATAATTATCAGTGGCGTTTAAATGCTTGTTTCAGGTCATCATGAGAGAGTGATCTGTTTTTGTCTATTTCTAATCACAAGAATGTGAATGCTGAGGTTTTAATGGTACTTTTTTTATAGCTGAATACTTCATAAACTGATTTTGTTTGATAATTTTCAATGTAAAAAGACATTTCCACCCACCGATTATTTTTCTCATTGACCAGCATGAACTGATGAACTTCTAGGAACTAAGAAAAAATGTTGATCATTTCTTTTGATCATGTCATAAAATTAAAAATGCTCTAAATTTTAAGCTTCCTATTTCAAGGAAATTTTCATGGAATTACTTTTTAAATAAATAATAGAATATACTGTATACACTTTTGTCTTCTAAAAATAAGCATGCCCTTTACAGTTGGTGGTACTCAAAGGAGATCAACAATCGGTGACCTTTATACCTCATTTAAGATCACAGATTCTGATTTAACTCTTTCTGTAGGCAAAATATATTAAGAATTAGTCACAGAAACTCTTGCTTTAAATAAAATGAAGGTCTTTATGTAAATTAACTTTTAACTTACATGATTTTAATTTATAGTTTGGGAGTTTTAGTAATGTTAAGATATTTCTAAAATTGACCTTGGAATCAAAGTATAAAAATTCCAAAAGAAAGTCTTTGTCTATTGTAATCAGTTATGCCTATGTTAGATAACCAGTTAGCAATTTAATGTAATCTGACAAGCCCTTGATTGGGATTTGATTACTTTAGAATGCAAACAAATCAACAGCAATGTTTGTGTAAACTTTCTGACTTAATTGTATAATATTTGCATGGGACTTGAAAAGCAGGATATATGTATGCATATATATTTCTTTTCCTTAAAAAAAGACACAGTAATGGAAACTCATACTTCAGTACAGTCCTCCTCTTTTCAGCCTCTGATGAAGAATCCTATTTTAAGAAATTGATCAAGAAAGACAAGAGTTCCACGCTGTTCGACCATTCCTAACTAAGGCTCGAATCTTGTTCTCCTGAGTAGTAAATTTAAGCTTATTTTTCATGTGGGATTTTTCTTGGGTAACCAACTCTGAACTACCAGAAAGCATTTTTTTAAGTGTGTGTGTGTGTGTGTGTGTGTGTGTGTGTGTGTGTGTCTTTTGTGAATTATTGAAACAAAAGAAGAATTAATCTCCAGTCTTTCTCTTTTTCAAGAAAATTATAGATGTTGAAAAACAATATACTGGTGGTTTTGATATGTCCATTCCCATGTCTTAAAAATTATTGTAATGATCAGCTCTCTAAGGATAGACTTCTTCAAAGTAAAACTCTGAATGTCTGTACTTGTTTTTTTAAATATATACACAATTGTTGGCTTTAAAATCTTTTGAAATGTTGCCTGTCCTGTGAAATGAACGTATGATGTACATTAAGGGTATAATGTGGAGTCTTCTTCCTTTGGTCTGTCATGAAAGGTGGAATTTATAATTCTTAGTGTCAAATTGCTAAATTGATTTTATAAGCATGGCTAGTCTTCAGGAAGCATGATATCAAAAAATAAGTTATAAGTGACTGAAAACGAGTTGTTTCATACATTTTATATGTATGTAAAATTCTGTTTGCTTGACAGTGATAACAATATTTTTGTTATCAAAATAATGTATACAAGTAGTATCTGTCTTTCATATAAGAATCATCTTCATTTAAATAATTTTCTTGATAATTTCAACTGCATAACTGTTTCATAATGCCAAAACAAAACAGAAAACCCTAGAGCTCCCTCCCATAAAGTGTTCATTGAACTTGATTATGTTTTAAACATTAGCTTAAGAAGTAGGACAGTCCCATCACCTCAATTACTTTGAAAGAAGTATGATTACCATTAACTGATAAGATACTGATAACTGCATGTAATAATTCCCCCGTATTCATCTGAAAAGACATTCAATACAGATGGAGCTGGCTAGATGTTGAAATGAGTCTAATGCAGAGATCTAGATACTGAGCAAGCTATGAATAAACACTGGAGATCACGGTCTTCTCATCGAAATGGGTACAGTGTTGTTGAATCTGCTTTGTATTCCCTTTGTATGCTGTGTTTATATGTTGATATGCTGTTGTAATATACGTTATTGTGAAATAAAATTGATTGAGAAATTCAGTTATTCATTCATAAATACTTACTGAGTGTCTGCTATGTGACAGGCACAGGGACAGACCCTGGGGATGTGACAGAAATGACTCCTGCACTCAAGGGAATCTGTATCATAGGAAAACACATGAGAAACATAATTCACGGTTACAACAGCTCTCAGTCTAAAATGAAATATGGTATTATGTTTATGCTGTTGATATTTATTTTTCCTTGCAAGTGTTGTGCATGTACACTGGATCTTCATTTTCAAGACAAATTTATTCTACTTGAATACAATTCTACCAAATGTTGACAAAGCTAATCTAAATAGGAAACAAGTGGCAATTACACAGATTTTTACCTTTAATTTTTACCGACTAAAAAAATTAAGTAAAATCCGTAATACTTGTGAGACTGTGGACACAGAGATTCCACTTTCTGAAGACAACTTCGAACAACCTCAGGGAGCCAGTTCTGACCACACAAACAGAAAAAGTTCAACTGCTATGCTAATGACAGCTTCCTGCAGACTGGGGAAGATGAAGATAGCACTTCCCCATAATCTCAGTACCTTGTTTGGATACAGAACTCTCTAGAAAATAAAGCCATTCTAGGGAAAAGGTGCTTTACTCTTTAGTGTCTTGTTCTGAGTTAGTACTGCTTATTGTATATTGCTTAGCGAAACGATATTTTCTACCATCTTATGAATACATAATCTTTAAGAAAGATTTCCATAAAGCTGAGTTTATACAGCATCGGAATTGTGTTTCAAACATTAACTAATTTTATATAATTACACCATCATTTTTTAGTTTATGTTTTTTACAACTTTAACATATTTTCTAATTATCATAATTATATAAACATTTTAGATATAATGTATAGACACACATGCTTAAGAAGCATACATCCACAAGACATGTGTTTGTAGATATAAAACATTCATCAAAAATAGACAAGTATTCATTTTTGTCACACCAAATATTAATTCCTCCTTTTTCCAAAAGGCTTGTAGCAACAAAGTTTGTTTAAAAAAACTTTTTAGCTTGAAACTGTGACTTTTACATTTTCTCATTTCTTTCTTTTCGTTTTCTTTTTTTTTTTTTTCCAGTTTTGATTTTTGATTTTTGGTTTATTGAGACAGGGTTTCTCTGTGTAACCCAGGCTGTCCTGAAACTTCCTTTATACACGAGGCTGGCCTCTAATTCACAGAAATCTGTCTGCTTCTGCTTCCTGAGTGCTGAGATTAAAGGTGTGCACCACCATCCAGACAACTCATTTATTCCTAAGTTGAATAATAAGAGCTTCATTTCCAATTTCTGTAATTTTGTTCATGGGACTAAGTTATCAATCTCCATTGAGCTTTCTTGAAAAGAAGCAAATGTTCCACACAGGAAACCTGGGATGAGATTCCAATTTTATTTGGTTTTCCATTTTCAGTATTATTTATAATGGTTGTAATAGTGATATTTACAAACTGGCAAATAATACAAAAACAACGCTTCAATGAGAAAAATGTATTTTATTGATTATATTAATTTAATTGAATTAAGGTTCAAAATCATTTTAATTCATTTATGGCCACATTTTTGTGTTTTCTGATATTTCTTTTTTGTTTTGTTTTTTTTTATTGATTTTTATTTTTTTATATTAATCACCGGTCATTTATTTTGTATCCCAGCTGTAGCGCCCTCCCTCATTCCCTCCCAATCCCACCTTCCCTCCCTCCTCTCCTCCCTGCCCCTTTCCAAGTCCACTGCTAGCGGAGGTCCTCCTCCCCTTCCATCTGACCGTGGCTTATCAGGTCTCTTCAGGACTGGCTGTATGGCTTCAGACTCAGATGAGTTTCCTTCCTGGAGTAACCGGGAAGGTGTAAAACACCATCTAGCACAGGAATTGTCTTAATAAACTCATTGCTGCTAGGAAGGAAGGCAAGCAAAATCACTTCCTTGGCATTACCATCCCACAGAGCACGGTAGTTGACGATAAATAAGTAAGGAGTTGCGTGTCTCTCCTCCGAAGTTCCCATTGTTATTCTCGGATGAATGTGAGGACTCTGCATGGTTACTTCACAACGCCGTTCCACAAATCCCTCCATCCCAGTAACCTTATGGGCTTATTTTTTTTTATTGCACTGGGGGATTTGGTATTTTCTTCACCCATAGTAACCCAAAAAACTTTATATAAAACCTCTCCAGTGTGCAAAATTTTAAGTGTTACTTGCAGATAATTTGTTATATGGGAGATGAAGCAAAGGAGGATGAGAACTTGTAGATCACATGGATTTGACATGAAAGAAGAGAGAAAGGAAACACACTCAGGAATCTGCGAGGGATTTATAAAGAAAATAACCCGCCTTCCTCTATCTTTGCTCTTCCTGACCCCTAGCATGTTGTCATGTTGCTCTTCTCTTGCTATACGCATCACTGAGCCTGAATGTCATCTGGATAATGGTTAAACAGAATCTTCAATAAGCTGAACATTTTTCCAACCTTAGTTGGCATGTTTGGCAGGAAAACAAAGATTTGAGAGGACCATCTGTCCAGAAGGAAAACTAAAAAAAAAAAAAGAAAGAAAGAAAGAGGATGCTAAATAAACATTTCACTCTCGCATGCATAAAACCCTGCTTCAAACAGATAACTTATTTACTAGGAACCAATATTTACCTTCATTATGAAGATCTGAATCTTCGAATCTTCTAACATTACTACTTAATCATAACGTTCCTAGTCAGAAGGTGGTGATCGGGATATCATTGCAGTTACTGTGAGCCTACTGTGTGTCAGATACCATGGACACCTTTCTTACTTTATTGAAAGTATCATAAAAATTTCTTTGGCTGCTGGTGTACAAATATATATATATGTTTTGTTCCTTCTCTTGGTAAATCATATGGAACCCTGGGTAGTTTTAAGTCTATTAACGTATAAAACAACTGCAAGAGTTTCCAGATACTCCAACAATAAAAGGCTGACTCTCACTTTTGTCACTTGTTAGCCAAGTGAATGGTTCGTTCACCTCCAGAACTCTCACTTTTCCCGTTTGTAATATGAGACATGCTTACTTCAAGATGCAACACAAAATGTAAACAAAAGTATAGAGCTCAGAAACTCAGCATTGCACCTGGCACAAAAGAAGCACAAAGTCAGAAAGAGAAATTACTTTTTACAATAAACCTATTGTTGCTTCCCTACTCGCATTTCTTTCCTCTCATCACAAAGATCTCATGATCAACTTGATCGCAAGGAGACAACAGACAAATAGTGTTTCTTTTTCTATCCCTATCTTCCAGTAAATTGTCTCCCACAAAGAAGGTGCTTAATAAATGCTTGATTAAATAATGAATTTAGAGTTTTTCATTAAGCAAACTATTTCCCATATTAGAAGAATTGAGTAGATACAGGCAAGCCAAAGAAACTAATACAAAATTAATACAGTCATATTCTTAATTCAAGCACTCAAGTCACCTTATACCTGACCTTCAACCTTAGTACCAAATGAAAGCACTAACATAGTTTGCTGTACTTGAATATTCTAACTGCACAGATACATCAATTAAAATTTTTATACTGTTTTACATGTGTGACTTTTGCTGTTTTCTATAATCTTCCATAGGTTAACTAGACCACTCTAAAAAGACAAAAAGAATTTGTTCATAATAGCTACTAATATTTTAGAGTTTAGAAAGTCATTCCTTTGCAGCTGCTCATGAATCTTCATGATCACATTCATAGTTTGAAAAGCATGTTAAGCTTTGGTACAGAACTCTTTCTGAAGGATAATAGATAATCTTCATGAAAAAGGGGACAATTAGTTATTTTAATCTTATAAATAGCAAATTGTACTTGTTTGCCCAGTGTAGTGTTGGATAGCTATCTAATGCCAAGATGTGGGGAATCTGGGTCATTTGGCCATGACAACTAAAAGTAAAATTTAAGAAAATAGTAGAATGACCTGTCTTGTATCATTTCTCACTATAAAAAAAAATCACATGAAGCATCTCCATGATAAAATATAATCTTAAAGCAATTTACACATTTTCTTAGTTTTTTAAATTGAGTTCTATGTTTACAAATGGTTAGAACTAAGTCAGAACTGCCATGGGCCCGTGGGACAAGCTGTAGATCGAGCTGCTTTCTACTCGAGGGTTCCACATGCAAGTTCGAATTCTTTAACTGACATATTTTCTGAAAAAAGAGTCTTGGAACAGTGCTAAATTAAGGTTAGCGTATCATGTTTGTAAGATGTAAGTACATTAAATCATCCTCATCCATGCTGTGGCTAATATGGTTACCACTTCTCCGAAAAATGAAACCCTGGGAATCGGCCAGGCGGGCATTCCCTCGACACCGAGTATGACAAACCTATCAAACCCATCTTGCCGTTTATGAAAGGGTGCTAGTCAATCAGTCACTGCAGGGCTAACTAAACCATCGTTTAAGTTACAACCCAAACATTCTGTTAAAATGTAGGTGTGAGAGTCTCTATGTGTGCGTTTGCATGTCTGTGTGCCTGTGTGTGTGTGCGCGTGTGTGTGTGTGTGTGTGTGTGTGTGTGTGCATGTGTGTGTGTGTGCTCAATGAAAAAAGTTTAGTAGTCATTAAACACCAGGAAGCTACTCTATACGATAAGGATGCTCTCAGTACTACTTCCTTGCATTCTCTGACTCATTTGTGTAGAAAACTAAGTGGGAAGATCAAAATGCGTGTTCCTTACATGTCGAGGGAAACAGCTTCCACTACAGACCTAGCTTACAATAAATTTACAATGTGTGGAGCCCATTTCTAATTTAAAGTCAAAATATGGGACAGCAGGAGCACAGGAAAATTAAAACAAGTAATTAGTGATAGATGTCTTTAAGCTATTATATTTTTATTTAAAGAACTATACACAAATGCTTCCAATGAAAGAAAAGCACCTTACGTAACACACTTGAAAATGGAAACATTTTCAGAATGTGAAATCATGTGACCTTGAGTAAGTTTTTAGTTCACCATGGCGGTCACTAAATAATTTTAAATCTCGTGAACTATTTTGAAAATATCAGTTTCAAGACTAAAAAATAATTAAATACACTTCTCTAGAAAATTACTAATGGATTTATTTTTTTTCTTTTAAAGTCACAGTACTAGGTACATAACAATAACTAAAAATTTTCAATTATACTTTTACTATATAATGTCTAATCCATTTCTAAGTTTATTTACATGTTCACCTATCTTATTAATAATTTCTAGCCACATAAAAATCATATGCATAGCAGAAAGAAATATATTCTTTTCTCAAAAATTCGAAAGCTATGAAGTTACAGAAAATCTTTTTAAATGTTTCGTAATTTCTCCTTTACAGTTCTGCTTCTCTCATTGTAGGAGTCTCCCTATGTTATGTACAAGAAAAATCATGAAATGTTTGAAGGAAATGACAAGTACGAAGGCTACTGTGTAGACTTGGCATCTGAAATTGCGAAACACATCGGTATAAAGTATAAAATTGCCATTGTCCCTGATGGAAAATATGGAGCCAGGGATGCAGACACTAAAATCTGGAATGGGATGGTAGGCGAGCTTGTGTATGGGGTAAGTAAACTGATTTATGAGGAGTTTACTCAGATAAGCATGAAACTTCTTTTCCCTTGGGCATGTATAAATTTTTAAACATCCGTGACTGTTTTCTAATTTGTACCAATGTTTCCAAATGTATTCACGATATTCCAATGTTTTCCTCTTTCATTGGAAATGAAAATTTCAAATAACAGAACTGATTCTGGTAACTTAAAATAAAAAAACAAAGAGAGAGAGAGAGAGAGAGAGAGATAAAATTCAGAAACAGTGTGTTCTTCTCATAACACAGAGCCAGGAATGAAAACGAAACAACATTGGCTTTAGAATCTTTGGTGAATATGCCCTAAAATTGTAGACTACTTCCAGGTGCAAAGATCTGTAAGCAATCTGTTGATGGGCAGATTTCCTCCAACAGTATAAAGTCAGCCACTGCTTTATCTAATTGTGTGCATCCTTGTTGTCATGGGTTCTCATAAGCGTCTTTTAACTAATTTCTGATTGTCATAGTCTCCCAGTATCTGAAATATTCATCAGTATTGTGTTTCTGAAAATTCTCCAAGCCACAGTAAATGTACCCTTTGGATACTTCTCTCTCTCTCTCTCTCTCTCTCTCTCTCTCTCTCTCTCTCTGAGTGTGTGTATCATATCTGTCTGTCTGCCTGTCCCTTCTAGCACACATAACAAAACACAAAAGCTAGAATGTTTTCCAAAGTAGGCCTCCCACAAAGCAGGCTGTGCCCTTCCCCTGAGTGAGCACAAGGACTATGGAATGCACACATTGATAGCCAAGGGCAAACGCAACACAACACAGCATGGAAATGTTGCCTGAATGAGCAAGATCAAGGTCTTCCTTTTCTGGCAGCCACTGAAGTGTCAAAATCAAACTGTAAGTTATCAGCCCCTGGTGGTGCTATGACATGCTCAGAGTTCAGAGTCCAAACCTGGAGAGAAGAGTTTGTATATCCAGGAACCAGCAAAAGCAATAAATGCATGGACTGTATTATTAAATTTTCTAAAAGCTAATTTTTAGTTCACAGATTTTACTTTCAAAGTACACACTCTTTCTAATTAATCCTCTGAAAACTCCTTTGAAATGAGGAACTACACAGAGAGGCATCCTTCTCCAAGGAAAAGCAGACAGACTCAGGATACAGGCAAAGATCTCAGATGGAATCACATTCCCAGCTAGAACTTCAATGGAACAGTTTCAAAATTCTGCATCTCATTTTCTTTCTTTCTTTAGTATCTTTTTTTTATTATTTAAAATAATTTTTATTAAATGTATTTTTATCATATTCTTCCCAGCCCCCAAGTCATTCCAGGGCCTCTCCTCTTCTTCACCCACCCAACTTTAAGTTCTTTCTCAAAAAAAAAAAAAAATCCAATACAACAACAAACTCCCCAAGCCAATAAAACAAAAAAACAACCCCCCCAAAAAAAAACATGCCAAACTATGACTAAATAAAAACATACCCATACCCCTCCTCTCCCACACACACACAAAGCTGTGGTGGTCAACTACCCTTGAACATGAAGCCTGTCCTGGAGTGATTAATATACCCATTGCCATTCTGTGGAAGAAAACTGATTTTCTTCTCCCACCAGCTATAAAAGACAGTTACGTTGTTAACCTTTTCCTTGGTGGCTAAATTGTCATGTATGCCTTTCTTCTTTTATTTTTTAATATAACAAAATACAGCAAGTTCAAACAAAAATTAAAACATTGAAATTGGACAAGGAAAACCAACAGAAAGAAAAGATTCCTTGAAAAGACACAAAAGTCAGAGCCAATAGTTCACACACTCAGGAGTCCTTAAAAATACCAAGATTTTAGAGGCCCTCTATGGTAGGCTCCTGTCCTGTTTCTTGTTTTCTCCTTCTTCCAATGTCTAAGTGAGGACTGATCATCTTACTTTGAGTCCTCTTTCTTGTTTAGCTTCTTTTAGAGGGCCTCTGAAAGACTCTACCTAGCAATATATCAAAGCAGATGCTGAGACTCATAACCAAACTTTGGGCAGAGTGCAGGGAACCTTATAAAAGAAGGGGGAGTTAGTAAGACATGGAGAGAACAGGAGCTCCACAAGGAGAGCAACAGAACCAAAATATCTGAGCACAGGGGTCTTTTCTGAGACTGATTCTCCAACCAAGGACCATTCATGGAGATAATCTAGAACCCCTGCTAGGATGTAGCCCATGTCAGCTCAGTATTCAAGTAGGTTTCCTAGTAAGGGGAACAGGGACTGTCTCTAACATGAACTCAGTGGCTGGTTATTTGACAATCCCTCCCTCCCCCCGAGGGAGGAACAGCCTTGCCAGGACACAGAGAAGGACAATGCAGCCAGTCCTGAAGAGACCTGATAAGCTAGGGTCAGATGGAAGAGGAGGAGGACCTCCCTTATCAGCAGACTTAGAGAGGGGCAGGGAGGAGATGAGGGAAGGGAGGGTGGGATTGGGAAGGAATAAAGGAGGGGGCTACAGCTGGGATACAAAGCAAATAAAATATAATTAATTTTAAAAAATAAAAATTTAATTAAAAAAATACCAAGCTAATAACTGTAATAAATACACAAAGGACCTGGTAGAGAGCGCTGTAGAACCTGTGATTGCTGCCTAGGTCTCTGTGAGTTCTTAGGAGAATTTTGCTCACTTGATTTACAGGGCCTTTTTCTTTTGGTATCTTCCATGCATTCTGGCTCTTATAATCTTTTGATCTTCTCTTCCATGGGGTTTCCTGAGCTCTGAGGGAAGAGATTTGACTTCATCCCAATTCTTTCTTTTTTTTTTTTTTTTTTTTTAAGATTTTAGTTATTTATTTTATGTATGAGTGCTCTATCTGCATGTGTGCCTGCATGCCAGAAGAGGGCATCAGATTCCAGTATAGATGGTTGTGAGCCACCATGTGGTTGCTGGGAATTGAACTCAGGACCTCTGGAGAAGCAGACAATGCTCTTATCCACTGAGCCATCTCTCCAGCCCCTCCAATTTTCAAACTATGACATTAGAAACATTTTTCACAGAGTGCAATTCAGTTGCTAAAACACAGAGTACAATTTAGCAGACAAAAAAAAAAATGGTTCACATCATGAAGCAACCAGCTTAGCCTTCATGGAGTTGAAGCACCCAATGAGTGCTTCAGTGACTCCAGATGAAAGGAAAAGGAAGAAGAAAGAAACTAAAAATTAGTTTTAAAAGACTTAAAAAATAAGCAAACTATTTTTTAACAGGGGTTCATTGACAATGTCATCTTGAATTTTACGTTCTAAAGGAAAAGAAGTCTCTAACATTCTGCTTTTAATACTTGAACTTCTAATGCCATAAGCATACTTCAAAAAAATAAGCATGATCCGGATTGTTAGAACACAAGCAGAATTCCCTTACCTTAAGTATGCTAAGTCAAAGACTTAATTTTTTCTGGTTTAAAAATATTTTCATATCAATGACACGAAATCTTAGGATGGAAACTGCTTCTAAACTCATGGAATCTCCCAATTGCACCTTAGTGTTTGCCTCCACTCGTACTTTGGAGCATTTCAGATTACTAACTTCATCACCGCTTAGCTATAAGCGGTCTCTACCCGAAATTGTCTGGAACATCTACTACGTATTTCTCCTCCTTTTCCAGATCATTCCTGCACAAATGTTGTGACCATATTTTATTTTGGGAGAAATTGATTAAATGAGATTTTTAAAGTGATGTGAGAGTTCATAAGAACATACATATATATATAGACAAAGCCTATTGGGTAGTAAAATGACAAGCTGTGGACCATTATCTTTTGTTTAGTCTTTGAAAACGGCTACTGTGGTTGTTAAGCATTGATTGCCTTCATCGCTTACATACAGAGCTAATACACCACCACACAGAGACCTGTCTTAAACTCTCAGGGCACTACCTTGAATCCTCCTTTCCCTTTCTCTCTTTGTTTATTTATGTATTTATTTATTTATTTATTTATTTATTTATTTCTATGAGTGTGTGTTTATGTGTGTATCTGTGTGTGTTTGCTCACGAGGAGTAAAAGACATTCCATGGCTCACTTACCACCAGAATTGTCTATGGTATGAGTGATAGAGTGAAGGAATGAAGAAGTGATTCTTTACTGTCACTCCAATGGTAGTTAAGAATAAAAATCTTATCCAGCTTCCGCTGGAAGCATCTCACACACTCCATTCTATGAGTCAATGAAAGGTGATGAGACAACCTTCCCAGCTTTAGCACACAATATCCACACACATTCTCACCCTTTGTTTTGAGCTGGGATAATTATACCAAACCAGGAGCCTGAAGCTATGTAATAGTGAACTTCAGAGAGCTTTTCTCTAGATAAATCTAAAAATGTGGAAACAAAAAGTGCCAGTAGTAAAGAGCTCTTGATGCTATGACGAAAAGAATAAAGTGGCGGAGGTCAGTTTCCAGCACCACTGTTGGGCAGCGCACAGCCACCTCTAACTCTAGCTCCAGGGCATCCAAGGCCCTCTTCTGGTCGCTCTGGGAACCTGCACACTTAAGCACGTATACGTACATCAGAATAAGTCAATCTTTTAGAAAGTCATCGCCTCTCAGAAAGACCACGTGTGCTTAAAGGTGCCTCAATCTTTTTTGATGAGAACTACTTTTAAGTAAATAAAACTCTATTTTAATTTGTTATTTAGACCACAGTTTAGTTTTTAGGCACAGTTTATATAATTCTGCTGTAGATGTTGTCAGACTCATGTTAGAAAGACCTGGAGGGGACAGGAGGTCCACAAGGAGAGCAACAGAACCAAGAAATCTGGGCACAGGGGTCTTTTCTGAGACAGATACTCCAAACAAGGATCATGCATGGAGATAATCTAGAACCCCTGCACAGATGTAGCCCATGGCAGCTCAGTGTCCAAGAAAGTTCCCCAGTAATAGGAACAGGGACCATCTCTGACATGAACTCATGGGCTGGCTCTTTGATCACCTCCCCCTGATGGGGAGCGGCCTTGCAGGTCTACAGAGGGAAGACATTGAAGCCAGTCCTGATGAGACCTGATAGTCTAGGGTCAAATGGAAGGGGAGGAGGACCTCCCCTATCATTGGACTCAGGGAGGGGCATAGGAGAAGAAGAGCGAGGGAGGATGGGATTGGGAGGGGATGGAGGGGATGCTACAGCTGGGATACAAAGTGAGTAAATTATAATTAATAAAAATAAAATTAAAAAAAAAGAATTACCACGATGTGAAAAGCTCACTCTGTCTCAGTTTTGGCAAGTCAGGGAGCAGGAAATGAGCCATTTAAAATATTTTAATCTGCACCAGATAAAGAATCTGTTAGCACTTGCTCACTGCAGTTCTGTCAAGGGTTTAGCATATAATTACAGTCACACATTAAGGTAAAGAGGCAAAATCACAGCCTCACTTTAGAGCTGCATAAAAAGATGTCACAGGGTCACCACACTCGGAAAGGGGTGTCTAGTGATCTTGATATCTAAGAATTAAAGCTCCTGAGTTCTAAAATATTGTTTAAAAATTATTTTAAAAGAAAATCAAAGTATGTGTATGACAAGAAGGAAAGCCAGTTTCCAGATTTGTGTGTGAACTGAGCTGGAATGTGTTTTCAAAAGAACAGGGGGTTATTTGATCAGGTAAGCATTAATCAGATGGTACCTATGACGATATCTTGTGGAGGTGGGTGTAGCAGTACAGGTATGAAATTTCAGTACTTGGAAAAGATGAGGGTCACAAGTCCAAAGCCAGCCTAAACTATAGTGAGATGCTCTTAAAAAAAAAAAAAATACAAAAACCCTGGTCAACTAAAAAAAAAGTTTTATGCAATTTAAGTAATATCTAATGAAACCAAACCACTGTTTTATTATACTGCAATTGGGATTAAGCATTGTTGGCCCTGAAAATGATTAAAAAGAATGCATGGCTGGTAAACTTTGCTGATCGCTCTCCTGCTCACTGTTTCAGGAAATCCACTAACCTGTGCGTTTCTGTGTCTTTTCTCTCCTAGAAAGCAGAGATTGCTATTGCACCTCTGACCATCACTCTGGTACGAGAGGAGGTCATTGACTTCTCTAAGCCTTTCATGAGCTTGGGCATCTCCATCATGATCAAAAAGCCTCAGAAATCTAAACCAGGGGTATTTTCCTTCCTGGACCCTCTGGCCTACGAGATCTGGATGTGCATAGTCTTTGCCTACATCGGCGTCAGCGTGGTCCTGTTCCTCGTCAGCAGGTTTAGTCCGTATGAGTGGCACACAGAAGAACCTGAGGATGGAAAGGAAGGACCCAGCGACCAGCCTCCCAACGAGTTCGGCATCTTTAACAGCCTCTGGTTTTCTCTGGGTGCCTTTATGCAGCAGGGGTGTGACATTTCACCCAGGTTGGTGTCCAGACTTGCACTCTTCTCGCCGGTTCTCGGAAATTCTAAATGCTCTCCACAATTTCTCTCTGTCTTCCTTTCCTAGAGTCAGCTCGGTATCTGAAGTGCCGGGAAATTTTCAATTCTCAAATCATCCTGAGTAGTTTATAACTGATTCCTTCTAAGCCTCCATAAAACATGGATAGATGTATCATAAAAACTTCCTCAAGAGAAAAAGTTACACAGTCCACTGCCACTTCCCATAAATTTTTTCTCATTTCCTCAGAAAAGGGAGCTCCCTTTTCCATCCACCCCAGCTCATCAAGTTACATCCCCTGTGGTCTGGCAAGGCCATCCCACCAGGGCGAAGTGTTCAAAAAGCTGGCAAGTGAGTCCTTGTCTGGTGCAGCCCCCCCCCCCAATTCCCTTACTAGAGAACCCACAAGAAGCCTAAGCCTTCCATCTTCTACATCTTTGTAGGGGACCTAGGTCCAGTTCATTCACGGTCCTTTGTTGATGCTTCAGTCTCAGCAAACCCCTCTGGGTCCTAGTTAGTTGGTCCTGTTGTTTTTCTTATGGAGCTCCTGTCATCTCCAGGTCCTTTTCTCTTCCCTTCCATTTTCCCACAAGACTCCCTAAGCATTGCCCAATGTTTGGCAGTGAGTCTCAGCATCGGTTTTGAGGCACTGCTGGGTAGAGTCTCTCAGAAGACAACTCTGACAGGCTCCTGTCTGCAAGTTTATCAGAGCATCCTTCATAGTGTCAGGGGTTGGCACTCTCCCATAGGGTGGGTCTGGGTCTTTGATTGGGCCAGGCATTGGTTGGGCATTCCTTCAATCTCTGCTCTAACTGTTCTATCTCCATCCCTGCACCTCTTGTAGGCACAGTAAATTTTGGGTTTTTGTGGGTAGGTTGAAGTTCCCCACCCTCTGCCATCCCCAGTCTCTGTGGAGTCCCCCTCATATCCTTTCAGGAGCCTACCCTGACTGAGGTCTCCAGCTTGTCACAGACATGCCCACCCAAGTTTCTCAACAGGCCTTCTGTCCTCTCTCCCTTGCTCTCCCCAGATATAATTATTTTGAAATGTGATTTCTTTCAGTGGCTTGACAGGTGTTAACCAAGTCTAAACTGTAGAATAACACCCATTTTTTATATTCCTCTGCAAAGACTGTTGCTATGTCTGTTACTGTGTTCTGTCATCAAAAATTAATGTTGAATTTAACTCAAGTAATTTAAGGGAAAATTTTGCTATGTTGTTTCTGAAACCATGAATGGGTGTGGTTTTTCATAACAACATATAAGGAAGCCGAGCATCAGGAGAAGGTCTATCCGCAGAAACTCTATGCTAACTTTATAACCATATTTTTACATAAAGAATTATGATTTCCTTTCTTTGGTGCCACTCAGTTACTGCATCACCAAAATTCCAGCTTGTTACACAAAAAATTCTTTGATTTCTCCCACAGAGCAACGAAAAGTATATAAGAAGCAAAATATTGGATTTTACATATTTGAACAAATATATATGTTTAGAAATGTATGTGTTCCCAAAAGGAGGCCTTTTGGACCCAATGCATATGAAATTCATGAGACCCAGAAAATGGCAAAAATCTGCTTAACATAGCACTCAGAGCCAAGAAGGAAGAATCAGGACAGACCAAGTTTTTTGAAATGAAGATTAAGCCAATACTAAGTTAAAATATAGCAGGTGCCACATTTTAAAACAGAAAAGATCTGATTTACATTTGCAAAGAGGTATGGGGGATAGAAGCACCACAGGAAATTCTAACTGATTCTTTATACAAAACAAGAAGTGTTTAGGACTCTGCATACAGCTCAGAGAGTAAAAACTCTTCCACCAAAGCCAAGAATCTGAGTTAAATAACTGGAATCCCCCTGGTAAAAGAAAATAATTGACTCTTCCAAGTTATCCTCTGACCTCCATATGTACAAATAGTGCACATGCCCAACACAAATAAATAAAATGTAACTTCAAATTTTAAAATTATATATTTTAAAATTATTTGGCAGGAACAGTGACTTATCTACCTATAGTTCCAGCACTCAGAAGGCTGGAACTGCCCCAAGTATAAGAAAACTGTGTGCTACATAGTTTCAGGCTAGCATGAGCTACGTAGTGAGAAAGACTGTGTCTTGATGGTAAAAATGAGTGAAATTAATTTTGAACATTCTTCCCTGCATTTTAAAATTTTATCTCATCTTAGCATTCCTTCTGTGACTTACACTCACCTGCACATCTTTGGTAGACATTGTTATGTCAGCATAAAAAATACTTTTAGGACATCCGCTCAACTCAAAGTTAGGTCACTTGGGACCCAATCCTCTAATCTCACTTAGTCCTGCCTCATCCTGGCCTACTTGGCATCCTGCAGATGTCTGGTGGGCTTTTCCACAGTCTCTGAAAGGTGTCTACCAATGTGCAGAAAATCTAAACTCCATTAGTTTAATATCTAAATTGTCTTCTACATCATGAAAACAGGCTAAAACATTGCCAACTAAAGCAGACTACTGGTTTTGTCACTTATCAATACCTGCATCCTACTTCGGAGATTTTGAACTATGAAAATGGACACTAAGGATATTAAACAAGATTCCTTTTGGTATCTGTAGGAGAGGAAGATTAGATATTTCTGCCAATATTTTGCCATGTCTCCAGTGACACATTTAGCTACAATGTAAAGGATGTCATTACACATCAACACAAGCCTCGTTATTAAATAGACTAGCAAAAAAATAACACAATGCATGAGGCTGTAACTTTTAAATATGACTGGGAATTGGTGACAATTCTTTCTTTACTCTTTGGATTAGAAAGGGGGAAACTTTGTTTTCTCATCCATATTTAGATCCCTGTCAGGTCGAATTGTTGGAGGCGTCTGGTGGTTCTTCACACTCATCATTATATCATCTTACACGGCTAATCTGGCTGCGTTCCTGACTGTGGAGAGGATGGTCTCCCCCATAGAAAGTGCAGAAGACCTGGCCAAACAAACAGAAATTGCCTATGGAACACTTGATTCGGGATCAACAAAAGAATTCTTCAGAGTAAGTCAAAGGAAAAGTACAGGCACCTCCGTAATTATGAATTCTGGGCAATGTTTGGGACAGTTATGACTTAAACTAGTGTAAATTAAAAAACACAAAGCAACAGCTGAATTTACAACATAGTTTTGACTTGCCAAAACTGATTCACATTGCAAGAGTACTCTCTTTAGGAAATAACAATAAAAAGACAGCTAAAGTTACTTTATAACATGATTAACCTCTCCGGCATTACTGGTGTTTTGATAATTTTGCTTTGGGCAAGATTAGAACTGTATGTAGTCTGAAACCAAGAAAAAAAAGAAAGAAAGCAACCCTTTCTTTTAAAGACTGCATTTTACTTGCTGAATTTGACACCCAAAATCCTCAGTGGTAGACTATGCTTGCTGTTTTATGAGCTGAATCACTTTGTAATCTCTTCCCTAGCCGTCATTTCAAAGCAACAGGTTTGCTTTCTTACAAAATCCTATTGGCAAGAAAGTTTCCTCCTTAACAGTAATTCTGGGCGCAATAGATGGGCACAATAGATGACCGCAAAACAAACCTCATCACCAACTATTTACCGCAGAATATGAGCCAAGAGGAATTCAGAAGTCTCTTGGGAACATTGGTGAAATAGAATCCTGCAAACCTGTGAGAAACAAAATTACAGGTACAAAATATTCAGGCTAGGGGTTCACAGCAGATCTCAGGCACAGTGCGTGTGTGCAGCAATATATCTGAATTTCTACGCAAGTATCCTGCACTTAAAGATTACATGTACACAAACCAGAAGCTCACACCACGCACAAACACGCACACCACGGAATTCCTCCCTGCAGGCTAAGAGGACTAAGAAATAGATGAAGAGTCTGAAGCTTCGGTTTTGCTGTCATCTGTGGCTGCGCCCATCTGCGTGGGAGAAGGGCACTTTAGTTGCTTGTGTAGTTGCTCATGTGTCCATTTGACACATGAGGCTCCATGGTGCTAATTATCTAAATTAAAAAATACATATATTTTGAAATTTAAAAAAGAAAAGAACAGTAATTCTGGAGAGCTCTGTAACGATGGCTCTGGACACCTCTATAAGATGCAATTTAGAACTGGTGGATTTTGTTTTGCGGTGAGATGATTCAAGTTGACACAACTGTGTCACATGTGTGGATGAGGTTCCTTCAGCTCTCTATCAGTGAAGCATGGCTTTTGTTTGTCTTTTTTTTAGGTGTTCCATTTGGAGGTTAAATTGATTTTCACTGCTTTAAGATTGGGCTTTGTTTGGTTTTTGTTCTTTAAGTTAACAAAGTAACTGGTTTTGTTGTGGGATTTCTGTTTACATGTTACAAGACTTTGTTTCTATCCATCTCTCTCTCTCCCCTACTGTCCTCCTCATGTCCTCCAATGTCCCCTTTCTGTTGATATTCTCCTACCTCCAAATGCACCCTTCTTTTCTGTGAACCCCCTTCTAATTAGATTGTTCTTAGTTCTACTGTACCTACTTAGCAATGTGTGCTCGCAGATATTGACAGCTCATTTTGTGAATTTTGAGCCAAAATATTGAAAGGTAGCCAAAGTGACATTTTCATTAGATATTGAAGTAGACGATAATGAATATATTTTATATTTCATATCAGTTGTTTGAAGACAAGAGGTCTTCAAATTATTTGAGACATAGAAGCTGTTTTGCTGTTTTCTAAGCTTGAGAACAAAGATAGCTTAGCTTTTTGAAAGCAGTATCTGAGAGTGCTAAATACGTAATTTTCTCAGTAGCTTGAAAACAAACACATTCAAAGGTATGCCAGCTTTACATTTACCTGAATTTTACTGAGATAAATTGATTTTGATTTCGATTATATAATACTACAAATGCTTACATAAATCTAAGTCAACAACAAACCACTCAAACCTTGGTGAAACAAAACAACGAGCATCGTGGTGCTTAGCATTGAGCGCTGGCCACAAATATTACTTAATTTTTCAAATGTTCTAAAAATATTTGTTAATTTTTTGAATTACTAAGTAATTGTCATGCAGAAGACTTTGTTAACAGTATTGTACAGATAAAGTTAATCAGCCAAGCCTTCTGTTAACTTACTGAAGAGGTAAGTACTGCTCACTGATTTTGCCTGGAAGCCTATCTGCTGTCAGAGTAGAATGCTGTCTCCGCCCTCCCCTGAAAAGTGATGGATGATGCTCATTCCACGACCACATGTGCTGGTTCATCCTCCTGCCTTGAGTAACGCAGGGGGAAAGACATATTATGTTGATACCTTTAAAAAAAAAATAGCTCATCATAAGGCTCTTTAGCAGCCAACACGATGCAAATATCGACTCCTTACCCTTTACAAAGCTTTCTTTTCCCTGCCCTCATTCTGAAAACTGGTGCGGCAGATAAGAGACTATATTGTTAATAAGACATATGGGAATGTGGGAAGCCGCTTTCGTAGTTTAAGTCTTCCCTTTCAAGCACCATCTCCCATCCAGCCTCTTCTTTCTCTTTTGCTCAACTTCAGTTTCAAAACAGGAAGATCTTTTCTAAGTGCAGGTATTTATTTTTGCATAACACTCCAAACACTAAAGGACAACAAAGCAATTTTCTCAGGCAGAGCTCTTTCAGGAATGTTTACTTTTGTGTATTCTGATAAAAACCACACTGGTTTCCTACTCTACCTGCCCCCCTGCATTCCATTCTTGGTGACCTGGTTTAAAGAAACCCTTTGCCTGATGAGCTGAAGAAACAGGATGTGAAGGGTATTTTTATACGCGTCAGAAATGCTTTCCTGTAGGTACACAATAATGGCACATCTGTCAGCTCTGCTCAGCCACCTCAGGCACTGAGTGACCCCCCCCACACACACAGCACTTCATAAGAAAGCCCTGAATAAAAAAGAAAAATGAAAGCACTGATGCTACCAGCTGCAGGAACAACTTGGCCACGAATCGGATAAAAATTATCTATGCCATTTGCCTTGTCTTCACCCCATTATGAAATGTGCTATACTAAATGTGCTGCGTACCTTGTTAAACATACACGTGATGTATTTGAAAGGCATCCTACATGTCCCCGATGACATTCATGCTGCATATCTGACCCAGACACACTGATTTTCCCTTCAGCGCAAATTGAATCTCATGCCTATTTCAGTCATCAGCAAGATGAAAGAACAAATGAAGCCGATTACAAACTCAGGGTTTAAAATATTATCAAACAAGACACAGATGAAACCTCCCCCAGAACAAGGGCCCTGCTGCCTACACCACTAGCAGAAAGAAAGCAACTAAATATCCCTTAGGATGGACATTTACATTTTCTACTAAAGGCATGTATACAGACTGCTTCACATGTGAGGAATGAGCACAGCATTATTAAAATTCTAAAGATTGTTTAAACTAATACATTAATGCTCTATATCAAATAGTTTCTCGGGCATTGTTGCACAGTAACAATGAAACAAGCAGATCTGACATTTCTAATTTTAAAAATGACTTTTATGTGATCTTTACTCATTACCTTGAGCACCTCTTCTTCCCATGCCTGATTTTTAAGTCGATTCTACTGTTAAAAGGTCTAGGGATAGAATGTCCATGACTGTTGTGTTTATTAGCTTGCTGGGACTGCAGAATGTCCTCATTTCAGCCCATCTCATCAAATTTATAAATATCTGCTTTTCTTCAAACATTAACAGACATGCTTGCAGCACCAAATGATCACAGGCAGAGCTGGTATTTCTAGCTCTCTGCCTTTGACTTCCCTCAGGCTCTGTCCGTGCATGTGATCTGGACCAAGTTATTCCCTTTCATTCAGAGTCAACATTTCTAAACATTGCCATAATGACAAGACAGGTGGAGCATTTGTCCGTCAATATAATTTCATCTGCCCTTTGACCTCTTCCCGCTGGGTTTACCCTTCAGAGCTCTGCTTAGACTTCCTAAAGTAATCACTGACACTGTATGGATTTATCTTTTTTTCTAAATTTTAAAGAGAATGAATGCAGCAATAATTTTTATCATATTAGTAGTATAAGAGTAGATTTTCAGGGCTAGGCAGGTCTCTCCGTAGTTAGATCTCCAGAACTTACCTAAATTGTAGGTGGCCAACCTGAAACTCCAACTTCTTGGAAGATGGAGACAGGAGATTCCCCAGAGAAAACTAGCTGGCAAGATTCTGGATTTAACTGAGACACCCTACCTCAATGAATGAAGTGGAAGATCGATTGAGTTTGATTCCCAATATCAATCTCAGGCTGCCACATGCCTGTATACACAAGGGGATATACATTCACACACACACATGTTCCCACATACATGGTAACATGCATACACATACATATACACCATAAGCACACATACATGAAATGAAAAAAAGTAGACCTCCAAAAAAATACGAACGGTCTGAAAATGTTTAATCCTAAGTTTTCCCCATTCCACTGTTTGTTTTTGCTAACTGTCAAATTCTTTCGATGTTGTGTTTAGTTATAATGGAAAAACTGCCAAGTAATTAGCACTTTTCTTGTATTATTTTTTTTTCAACATGGAGCTACAGAGACAATTGAATTGGTCAAGTGCCGGCCATGCGATTATGAAGACCTGACTTTGATACCCAAAACCCACATAAAAAGTTGACCATAATGTTTGTAATCCCACTGGAAAGGCATGGCAAGCAGGTACTTGGGACATACTGGCCAGCCAAATCAGCCTGCCAGGTCAATGAGAGAACCTGACTCAAAAAACATGGTGGATAGAACCGGAACAAAGACACCCAAAGCTGACTTCTGACTCACGATCATGTTCATGAATTCACAACCATACATACACACACCATACTCTCTATACTGTGAGATATTTTCCAAGTGTGAAAATCGTTCATTTTTTTTTTCATTTTTGCACATTCTTTATCAAGAAACAAATGCAGAAATGAGTCTCGGTGCGTGTTAGTGAGTTATCAAACAACAAAGAACACTAGCTAGCGCTCTTCTATCCTTCCAAATATGTCTTTTGGAAACAGTTGAGTTCGAGTGTCTATTTTTTTAACATATAAAAATCTTTTGGGGGAGTTGTTGGGATAGCTCAGCAGTGTAAAGTGCTTGCTGCAAAAGCCGCAAAGCTGAGTTTGATATCCAGAACCCATGGCAGAAGACAATTGACTTCCAAAGCTGTCATCTGGCCTCCACACATGCAGACTGGCACTACACCCCTGAATACACACACACACACACACACACACACACACACACACACACACACTCACACAGTAATAGTAATAACAATTAACTAAAATTTAAACTTAAAATCCAAAAAAGACTTAAGTAAGGGAAATAAAGCTAGAAGTAATTTATAAAAATAAATAAGCTTTTTGGCAAGAGTCATGTGGTTAGAATGAGTGACATTCAAAATGAAGCATGAAAGCTGAAATCGCTTCTCTTTAAAGCCCAGTGTGGTGTTCTATTTGTCGATTTTTTTTTTTTTTTTAGATTCAACCTCAAGCTGTGTGAGTCATCTGGAGCTTGAATATTGTTCAGTGGGCACCTGTTTGAAAAGTACAGAGCTTACCTTCTCTCCCTTGAATGTTCAAGAGCTGACTTGGTGTAAACTGAACTTTTTCTTTTTTTTTTATAAAATCCAATATTTATTATTGTCCTATTACAGCAACATAAGGAATAACCAAACAGATAACTAAATTTCTAAATCATAGCCTGAGAAAACATATTGATAATAAAAAAAAAAAAATTACCCACATTCTACAAACCTACCAGTCAAAATCAGTGTTTTTGACCAAACTAGGAAGGACTAAAAGATCATAAATGCTCAAGCTTAAGGGAAAATGAAGTTGAATAGTGAAAAGAAGCCACTTAGTACTGAAAAAGGGTAAAGGATTACTGTGCTAGACAGGAAGAATAAGCCACTGAGGTCAGTTAAATGCACCAAGTGCAGTCTACAGAGGAACAGGCTCCCATCAGATGGTGGGTTCTGTCTCCTGTATCGATGTAGCGCTCAAGGTTTATACAGCAGGCATGCACTTTATCAGTAATTTGAAAAAGTACTATTTCCTGTTCCTTATTAAACATTAAGACAGATTATTAACAAGTAAAATGTAGCTTTTTTTTTTTTTTAAGAGACACTAATTAGGTGGTAGAATAGTAATACATGCCAAAAGCAACTGTGGTCTTCAGGTCTGAGGAAGAACCCAAGAATTTAGAATTTCTTCAAACCCTCATCACTGAGATTAAGACGTCTTTGGAGAGTACCTGGCAGCCACTGAAACCTTCAGGCTACAGTGACAGAGAGACATGGCAGAGGCTGCAAGCAGCACCGTCTGCAGTGACAGCTTGCCCGGTAGCTAAGGAACACTGACCCGTACCTTAGGTTCCGCACCGAGCCAGGAGAGCTTTCCATTTCAGTAAACTGAACTTTTGAGGCATAAAAAAACAAAAACAAAAATACACACACACATATGTCGTAACTCCACTACAACTCAAATGTAGAGCTGTGAAGAGTTTTACAGAAGCAAAACTCAGGTCTGACCTGGTCCTCTTCAGCTTCATCATGACTGTCATAGAACATGGAACTTTTTTCAGCACCGTCTGTCTACCTTTAGTAATGTCAACAACAATATCCAGTGAAACATTACAGTGTAATAATCATCATGGAGAGCTGCACATGCTTTTTTAATCATCACCATAAGTGTCTGGCAGTTGGCTGCTTTTCTAAAGAGTTTTAAAACTTTTTCATTTCTAAAGGCTTAGGTTTCTGCCAGGCAAACTAAATAACGAATAATGGAATGACACTTAAAGACTCACATAACCTTGCTTCTATCTATATTAACATGCTGTTCCCTTCTTTCCTATATTTAATTTTATTTACATTTCCTCCAGAGATCAAAAATAGCAGTGTATGAAAAGATGTGGACCTACATGCGATCAGCAGAGCCGTCTGTGTTCACTAGGACTACAGCTGAGGGCGTGGCTCGAGTCCGAAAGTCCAAGGGCAAATTTGCCTTTCTCCTGGAATCCACGATGAATGAATACATTGAGCAGCGGAAGCCCTGTGACACGATGAAAGTGGGAGGAAACCTGGATTCCAAAGGCTACGGTGTAGCAACGCCCAAGGGTTCCTCATTAAGGTGGGTGGAATAGTATAACAATAGACCATGCATTGTTATAGTATTCCACCTTCCCTGATGTCCCTGAAAGAGTTCTTTTACTTTGTGTGTGAACATAGTATGTTTGTTAGTTTGTTTTCTTTTTCTCCATTTCATTCTTTTTGATCAACAATCAGGTAAAAAAAATTTTTTTCATTTCGATTCTAAAATTATTACATTTGACATTGATCTTTGAAGGCCATATAAAAACCAAAGTGGTTGAACACTAGCTCCTTGCAGTGGGCCTAAATCAGAGATGTTGTGTTTTTCTAGATCTCATCAGCTTTTTCTGTTGTTTTGCCCACCAAAATTGATGCTGCCTGCTGCCTTTGTGTCAATAGCGATTCTGCATTTAATCATTGTGTTTAACCCTTGCCCCTGGTTACCGGGCTCTGAGTAAGAACAAATCCACTTCTTCCAGAAGAGATTTTCTTTTTCCATCTCAGTGTTTCATTTAGTATGGCATCATTTTATTTCAGACCATGTTGAGGTTGTACTGTTGAAAATCCCATCTACTTCTAAAAAAACAGACCTAGAGCAAAGACTAGATGCTGGCTTTATGGAGCTTACTTAGGTCACATTCCCATATATTTTAAAGGGAGTGTGTTGTAAGTAAGATCTGTAAAGTTAGATCAAATATGACTCACAAATATTTGTAGATAGACTCTGCCAAGTGGCTCACAAGAAAAACATTTCCTGGGTTAAAAAGGAGCCTTTCACTGTTGCGGAAATACTGGGCACATCTGCCCTTTGTATCCTTTTGGTTCTCAACATAGAAAATTCATGTTTACACCCAGGAGGCAGAATTTCCTATTTCCTTTAAGTAATAAAGGCTGCTTTGAACCTACTGGGGCTAGAGCAAGTCATAACTGACAGATCACTCTGGTCACAGAGCTGCTTAGGAGAGAAGCACAAAGCACAGATTCAAGAGGAAATCACAGTCCTTGCTTAAGGGCTTAACCAAGAACCTGGTCTTGAGAAGTGATGTCTCTGGTAAGCCATTGAAAACCGAAGGTAATGAGAATTGTACTATTGCCCAGCCACAACGAAAGCAACATCAGTGTTCTGTAGTTGTTTTCATTGGCAATGTACTTGAGTGTGTTGGGTTGGGCAAGGCTTGAGATATCTATTTGAGAAAAAAGTACGGGTACTGGGAGGAGCTGTGTTAACTCAGTGATGTGGGGGGAGGGTATCCTGTGAATGGGAAACTTTCCAAAGGAAATAGTTACCAAAAGTAGTCAGTAAAAATAAATTTGAGTAAGATTCTGGCAGCTCTGATCTCTGGTTTACTTGAACAAACATCCCACATAAGCCTAGAAACATAATCAGGGAAAGCATCACACTAATAAATTACCCATGGTGGAAAACCTAATTTAAAAGATTTTCATCCATTTAGAAACTTAAAGTGCCACCAGGATGTTTAGACTTTGTTGACATATCTTGTATGATGTGTTATAAAAAGTATGTACTTTCCATTCAGGTATCAGATAAACTTCTGTAGAGGTAGCAGTACAAGAACACTTGAGTGTAAAGAACTTATAAGAAATAGAAGAGGTAAGAGCAACTGCAGTCGGTATATAGATCTGTGGTCAGGCTATTGATTACATTCACTGGCTGTCCCCTCTTAATTAATTCTCAGTGGATATAGCTGCCTTGTCCTCTGTCTTGTGTCTTCTGATAAAGTCAAGCTTCGGGAACTGAATTTGGCCCTAAGATACGGGTGCGTCTGCCTCCCATTGATGGCTAGAGAGTTTCCTCTTAAATGTGCCACTTTGTCAAATCGACACTACAGGCATTGTTTGGGGCAATGCTGAAGGGCTTCATCTGTCTAGAACTGTATAATAATGAGTGATTGGCTTCCCCCTCTTTTCCTGCCCTTGCCTAGATCTTGTTAATGAGGCAATTGTTAAGCTCAGCTTCCTGGATGGGGGAGTTTGTTTATGCATTTTGTTTTCTGTATGCCACAGTTTCCTGAACCAGCTGGCCCCTGCAGGCCAAAACCACAGCCATTTTGTCCATGTCTTTGAGAGCACTGGAAAGATACTGAAAGCTAAAAGCATTCACCTTTCCCTCTATCTCCACTCCCACATCCCCAGCCATGTATTCAAGAGAGGTTTATTAAACTGAATATCTTAATCTACTTCCTTAGAAGACTTCTATTTCAAGAGACAAACCAATACAGTGTTAAACTATTAAACATTTTCACATACATTATTTAATTTGTAGAAACAAATTCATGTTAAAAGCATTTGTGAAAAGCAAAATCCAGAAGACACACCATCATTAGGTGTCCATGAAATATGTATTAGTCATTTAGCAGAAACTTGTCTGTTTTTCCATAGAAACCATATCTTTTAATCTAGTAATTCCTCTTCTTCTGGTAAGACACGTGAATGTCATTGTTATTAAATGTGCATTCCTCACAATTCTGATTCCCTAATCAATGGGAATCTTTAGAAAAAATAAAACAATAATCTTTCCTTCTGTGTAAGCATAACCAGATAAAGCTGGCAAGTGGCTGGCCATATTCTTTTCATATGGAGTTTTAAGCTTCCATATCTTACTATTTATTCAAATGCTACAGAATAAATGTCACAAAAAAAGAGGAATAGAGCGTCATATAGTCAGAGTAGACAGTCATGACTTTGTTCTTTACTGTAAACTTTAAAACAAATACAAGCAAGATCATTGCAAAGGGTACATCTGTGACTAGTCTAAAAAATGTCACCATAGGGGCTGGGGTATAATCTTAGCAGCTGAGAGCTTGAATTGCAAGCAGCAGCCCCTAGGTACAAACCCAGGTAATGAAAATAATCAGATCACCTGGTACAAGTGGCAGACAGTGATAAACAGACCTTACTGTTCAGAAAGATTTTATTTCAGAATATTGTATGCATACCAGATATGTATGCAAATCTTAAAACATTAAACTTTTTCAGTTACATAAGACTCTGAAACTATTGTTGTATTTTAACATAGATTTTCCAATTCTACAACAGGGCAAGATATAGTAATGTTTCATGCACATTCCTATTTAAGGTTCTCTGGATTCCATGGGGTCCTCCACATCCATTTTTCAGTACCTGGGCTATCCAAATTCACTATGAAAACTTTCCTCTGATTGGCAAATATATATTTCAGGAAGCATTATAATGAAATAGAAAGTTTAGATGAAAGATGCAGTTTATTTATTTTAACTTTAATATCAATACCATTAAATTTATCATGGTTCAGATACCTTTTACACCAATTGGCCATAATTATTTATACTGTAATAACATTATATATTTTATTTTGAAAATGCCATCAACTTTACTACATTCTCAATACTACTTTAATTACTATGCTATCAACTTTATCATGTGATAAATATATACCTGTTAAAAGTTGTTTAGGTTGATTTGGTTAATAGAAATCGTCAAACTATTATGTAGCTTTTAGGTGAGAATATTTATTTTAAAATACTCATATTATCCAGCATCTTCACATTGCACCAAGAAATAAACCAATGAGTCTCATATGCAGTTTTCGTCTGACCCTTACATCTTGGTCCAAATATCTGAAGACAAATTAAAATCCTATAGTTTCCAATGCTTTTATTAACCATAATAATTCCCACATAAAATTTATCTTCTCTGAAGATGTTTGTGGAACTTTGTCTAAAATAGATATTTTTTTTCAGACACCAAAGGAAAAAGAGGATATTTCAAAAGAGAATAACTCTGAGAGAACTTGCGTCAGTATGTGAATCTGGAAAAAATTAAAGCCTGGTTGGACTTTAAGATGCTCAGCTGCATGAGCTCATGGCAACAGAAGCCAGTCCTTAGAAAAGAGGTCTATCATGGTTCCTGTAGAATGGGCACTCAGAGCCTCCTAGCTGCAGCATAGCACAGTGAGGTTGGGGTTAGAGTACTAAGAAAGGGAAGTAGAAAACCCCATCTTTTTATTAGACTTTCTCTTTCAGTGTGTACAAGAGCCACTGGCCTCTTGGGATGTTTGGACCAAATTATATTTCTTCACATTCTTCCCAGGGCAGATTTGTGAAAAATAATATCCTAATTTGTATGTGAAAGATGTGCTATTCTATAGAGCCACTTCACAATGTAAAGTTAGGAAAACATACTTTATTATAAGCTCAGATGCATTTAAAAAGATTAGAGAAAGTTTTTTTTTTTTTTTCAAAATTTCATACACGTATACAATGTATTTTGATCAGATCCACTTTGTATTTCCCGCAGTTCCCTCTGGACCCTCCCAGCATGCATCCTTCCAAATTAATGTTCTCCTTTATATAAGTATGTCCCACTGAGTTCTGTCAGCGCTGACGCTATGAGCATAGGTGTGTGGCCATCTACTGCTCAAAAAAAATTATTCTTCCTCCTCCAGAAACTGCCAACTGCCAGGGTAGCCGCTGAGCTAAGAGTGGGGTTTCAAGAGCCCCTTCTCGTCATGTCAGAATTTTCATTGGCTTGAGCTTTAAGTACACAATTTTATATTAAGCATTCTAGGAAAAGATGCTTGTGCATATTCTCCTTAGTCCTTGTTGACATTTGAACAGACGCCCCCACAGAGTAGGCCATTGTGATCCCATTGTGTTTGGAATGGAATAAAGTTATCCGGCTAAGGATTAGATGAACAGAGCAAAAACTGGTTGTACCTTTCAGCAGTCACAGACACACAGAAGTAGGCAGGTCCCTCCAGTGCAGACGTACTTAAAGGCTCTCCAGGTTTCTGTAGTGACGCTGGTACTTACTATGAGTACCAACTGTTTTACATTCACAAACTAACATAGCACATGGTAAACACATCAATGTTACATGGGGAAAATGATGGCCCAGTAGGACCCATATACTCCTATTCCAGATGTTTTCCAGATGTTTGAGCACTGTAGAAACCATGGACGTTTCTACAACTATCAGAAACATAAAAGTTTTTAATTTAGCTTCTCTACAATTCAAAATGGCTAAAAATAATAGCTCCCT